TCCTTTATGTATCTCATATGAAGTTTGATCAACAAACTTTGTTGGAACCCTATTCAAAATAATTGTCATAGTAAGGATCGTATATCCCCAAAATGATATTGGGATATCGGTTTGACTCATCACGAATCGAATTATTTCTAACAATGTTCTATTTCTCCTTTTGGACACACCATTTGTTTATGTTGTTCTAGGTGGGGTCCATTGTAAGAGAATCTCATTCTCTTTTAAATGATCTAAAAATTTAGTGCTTAAGTATTCTCCACCTCGATCCGATCGAAGTGCCTTGAAACTTTTGCTAGTTTGTTTCTCGACTTCAAACCTAAACTCTTTGAACTTTTTAAATACTTCGATTTATATCGCATGAAATACACATAACCACCTATCATCGATAAAGGTTATGAAATAATCATATCCTCTTCTAGCTTAGGTGGAAATGGGTCCACATACATCACTATGTATGAGGCTTAACAAATCAACAGACTTTTTCACTTTTTCCACTAAAAGGGATTTCATCATTTTGCCAAGCAAACAAGATTAGTAGACATCATAAGATTCATAATCAAATTATTCTAAACATCAATTTTTATGCGGTTTGGATATGTAATTTTTATTTATATAGCCATGTCGACAATGCCACAAATATGTTTTAATTGGATCATTAGTTTTGATTCTTTTCGCATTTATGTTATACATAGGTGTGTCTATATTTAAAATATATAAACCGTTATTCACATCATCACTTTCATAGAAAACATCATCTTTATAAAAGGAATAAATTTTGTTCTTAAATAAAAATGAAAAACCATCTTGTTTTAAATAAGAAATGAAAATGATATTCCTAGTTATAATGAAATAACGAGTTTCGATTATAAACGCAAGTCTATATGATACCGCTAACTTATAGATGCCTACAAGTAATGGCACAACTCTTGAACCATTAACCACGCGTAAGTCAACCTCACCGGATGCGATCTTTCTAGCCTTTCTTAATCCTCTTAAATTTGTGCAAATATGTGAACCATTTCCAATATCAAATACCCATATGTTAGGCTAAAAGTAGAAAAATTTACTTCAATAACATGAATACTTAAGGTGTTATGAGAACTCTTCTCTTGCATCGCTTCATAGTACTCTTTATCGTCTATCACATAGAGCATTTTCTCATATTAGAGGACATTCCTCTTATTCAATTTCTAGTCGGAGAAGTTTGTTTGATTTAAGGTATTCCTTCCATTTATCATCGAGCCTCATCGATGTATTATCAGTCATACTACACAACAACCTTGACAGGATAGAAAAGCATACGATTTGGTTAATTAAATTATATAAAACCAAACAAAGCATAAATTAAAGAAATAAAATCTATGTTTTCTCTCGTAATTTTCTTCAAGTTCTATAACCTTCAATATAAGACTCGAGAAAACTTTTTGATTCATTTTCTTAGTGGGTTATGATCCCATTCTCTAACATGCATTAGCCTTGAGTCATCTCAACAAGCCATACATGAAGGATTAGGTAGGTAACTCCTTACCAATTACATTTAATGTAATTCTTAATTTTATTGACATGACAACTCTTTGTCTTATCACATCTTATGTGAATACCAATCTTTACTTGCATGTTTATTAAACTTTGAGTTATCTCAACAAACTTAACAACTCATTTAAGTTATACCCAACGTTGAAAGACATTGCATGGCCTATGATTTATTTCTCTCGAGGAAGAAGTGATCTTGAATTATCTCAATAAACCAACTACGACTAAGAGAGTTCTCGTCTTGTAATGTTAAAAAGCAATTAACTTAATATTTTATTTAAAGGATTTACTATGGTTGGTCTCATCCTAGCATGCATACTAAACAATAATCATATTATTCCTAACATGCATACTAATATTGATCTCACAACATACATAGACCTCATGCATGACTCAAAGACCGATGAATGGTAATGGATTTCTAGTACTAGCCCTATCGAGCCACAAGGAGACTAGTGGATCAATTCCTAAGTAAAAAATTATTACAAATTCTTCATGAATGTCTTCATTCCTTGGTGTCTTCTCCTTGTATCTATTCCGATTCCTATCTTCTACTTTTACATTTATTTGAAATAAGCAACCTTGAGTTACATTCGAGGAGAATGAGATAGAAAGAGAAATACAATAGAATAATAGAGAAAGCGAGGACAAGCGAGATCCTATTTATTTAAAAAAATTACAAGCATTCACTTATAAAACTAAGTCGACTCATCCGTACTATTCACCCATGCTTAAATGAAATTGATACAAGGCATACTAATGAAATACGTTTCATTCATAAAACAATTATAAATTTATGATTTTTTTATTTTATAAATTTATCAAAATTTTAATTTTAAAATCCTTTTGGGCCTTAAGGGCCCACATGCTTCAATCCCTAAACCCTTGGCTAGGCATGCTCGTGTGCACCTACCCATAGCCGATAACTTAGTGCAAGGACGCCTAGCCGCTGGCTCGTGTATTAGTACGAGGCTTACCACGTAGGTGCCTACCGTGTGCCTAACGTATGGCTCGGCACGCAAGTGCTTGGCACGTATTGTTTAGCACTCAATGCCAAGACCGTGCCTAGTTGCTCGTTGCCTAGCCTATCATGTGCCCAACGCATGATTGGCATGCCCGATATGCACTCAACATGCAACCGACCAGGTGGGGCTATTGTGTGTACAAGCGTCGATGGCCAAGTTGACCTTGTGTGCCCTCACTAATTTTGACCCAAAAATTCAGTTTTAAACTAACATAAGATTTATAAGCGAGCATAGCTTATTCATACGGTTAATCATAATTAATAAAACATATAATTAAATATTCAATAAAGGCTTTGATACCAATTGAAGGATCATGCATCCTTTGGACGTGAAAAATAAACAAAAAAAAATCTCCATCTAAGGGCTCAAAATCAAACCATTGAATCTATTAACCATACATGCATAAATTTAAAGTAATGAATAAAGAATTACCTCTTATAGTATAGATCTAATTCTTTTGGCGGAAAAATCGTCCAAGTGTTCGACTTCGATTGATGATCCATGCAGTCTAAGTACCTGCAAAGAAGCACTCAAAATCAATAGGGTGCTAGCTCCACCTTTCCTAATTTGTGTAATGTTTCCTCTAGAAATCTATTTCAAACAATTTTATGGCAACTTAAAAGAAAAGGAGAGTGTGGCATGCTAGGGTTTTAGGAGAAAACTATTTTCTTTTTTTATTTTTGGTGTTTGCCATCTACCCTAGTAGGCTTTTTAATTCTAGCTGAATTTCCTCTCTTTTCTCCTTTTTTCTTGTGTTGTCGCACCTCTCTCTCATATATATTTATAGAAGAGTTTCCTTATCCTTCAAGGACAATGAGAGGGGTGGCAATAAGTCCCTTAAGAACTCTAGGTTGTTACTATCTTACCCTCCAAGAATTAGGAGTTACTTTACATATGGACTTTTAATCTTTATATTTTAGAATATTCATCCTTATCCAATAAGGTTGATGTTTATCCTCCCACCAAAATATCTTAAAGCTTTCAATTAAACCTAATGAGCCAAAACCATTTTGGCCCAATTAATTTATTTGCACTATCTAAATAAATAATCTTAGCTTATTTTGGATGAATCCACATTAGGAAATAATTTTCTAAAATACCTTTTAACCTAAATTAGAAAACTCATTTTCATTTTAGGTTATTTATTTCTAAATTTGGAACTAACTTCTAAATTGGAAACCGATTTCTAAAATAAAAAATTTTCTATTTTAGGAAACTTCATAATTAATAAAACTTTTATTTTAGGAAACTTCCCATTTAGGGAAACTTTCCAATTTAGAAACCCTTTCCAAAATAGAAAAATTTCAAAATTGTATACTTTTTCCAATATCCTTGCTTCTTATTCATCATATGAATACTTAAACTTATGCGTATGACTCAATAGGCTTATAGATATGTTAGCAATGTATCAAGAGCAAAAGATTCCTCTTTTATCTCTTAATACATAAATCAAAATTGACCTCTAGCAAGGCATCATGATTACCCATTCTCTAGGAGGATTAATTAATCCATTATCATCATTTACAAGTATGGTTACCATACAATTGAGTCTTCATGTCAACTTATCACAAGTGTGATCTTGAACTTGGTTATAAGTCTTGTTCAATTATGATCACATAAGTTTTCTTAGATTTTCAAATGTCTTATCTCTTAGAGTAAACCAACTATGCTTCATTGGTGTACTCTTACTATGGTCACAGATTTTTTGAGTAGATATTTATCGAAATGCAATGTTATAACTCCTTTAGCATACAAGAATGATATGTCCTAACTCCTTTAGCATACAAGAATGATATGTCCTATCTTAGTCATACATCTACCTTCATTAGATTCCTAATACACCAACCTCCATTAGATTCCTAGTGCACCCAACGAATTGCCCATGTGCAATCACTTAATAGTCCATCAAAATGAGTGTCAAAGTGCATAATTCCTTTAATGAGACAACGGTGATAACTTTAAGTCTAAGGACCATTTGTACTCATCTCATATAAGATTCTCATAAAATAATACCAAATGGGTTCTCATGACGAGTCAAGTCTAGTGATATGTTCTCTAACATAAATCACTTAAGTGTTTACTTTGGCATCATCATGTCAATAGATGTGAGATCTTCTACTGACATCATATAACATGAGCATAGCACTCACAAGTCTATCCACATATAGTCAATGTCCATTCTTGACACTACTACGACTTGAGACGTTTAATGATACCATTTATATACATTAGTGTTTGTCTCATATTTTTTGATCAATCATTATTGTAAATACATATCATAAGGACTTCTATCTAATTTTACTAAATTTATCAATATGAAACATAAGAATTAATAGAATGACTTCTTTATTATTATTAAAATAAATAATACAATAATACACTAACTCAAGTCCATCCAAATATGATTGGATCTTGGATACTTAAACTAACTGGAGATAGAGTTCTTATAGGAAGAGAGATAAGATTATTGTGAGTGGAGGTAGAGAGGGTGACAAAGCGACGACTAGTGATATGTGGAGGTTCGATTGGCTTTTAAGTCATGAAGAAGAATTACGAGCGGTGATGATGGAGTTTGGTTGGAGCTTGGTGGCGAGTTGGAATGACGATGTGGTGTATCTATTGGCATTATTTATTGCAATAGTAAAGATGGATAGCAAGATATGTGAACCTATGTATAGATTGCGGACTTGGTGGATGGCTACTAGTAAATAAAAAAGTTGAGGAAATATGAGGATCTACTTTGATAAAGGAGGAGATATAAGACTAGTGGGTCTATGCTATTAAGTGGCCACTAGGTTTAAGATTTCTCGATGGTTGCCTCGATTGTGTTTAAGAGGGAGAGGTTAGAGACGAGAGGATGATGGCTTGTTTAGAAGAGCTATGATAGCCATCTTTTTTCGGTGAAAGTAGCTACCCCTGCTTTTATTTTTTAAAAAAGAATCAAAAGTAACTCGTTTTTTATTAGAGACTACATTTTTTAGGGAGAGGGGATTTGTAGAAGCCTCCTTATGGCTACCCTCAAACAACAAGGGAAGGACTGCTTTTGTAGGAGTTATTTATGGTTGAGAAGAATGAGTCATTTTCTTTTCTTCTTCTTCTTTTTTGTATTTTATATTTTATGTATTTTGTGTTTTTTTAATTCTTTTTTCCTTTTTTTATATTAAATTCTAAAATAAAGTAAAATAAAATAAGAAATGAATAAAAATAAAAAAAGGGAAATTTTGGGTTATGATATCTAATATGGGCTATAGTCGCGAAGGACTCATCATTTTTATTTTATGTGAATGGTTTTTGATATGGGATACAATCGCAAGTGACTCGCTATTTTTATTTTATTTGAAAGATTTTTGATATAGGTTTCAATCATGAGGGACTTCCTATTTTTATTTTATTTTAATGATTTATGATATGGGTTATACTTGTAAGGGAGTCATCATTTTTATTTTATTTAAATGATTTATGATATAGTTTATAGTTGTAAGGAACTCACCATTTTTATTTTATGTAAATAATTTCTTATATGAGCTATAATCGTAAGGGACTTGTCATTTTTATTTTATTTGAATGATTTCTAATATGGAATGCAATCATAATGGATTCATCATTTTTATTTTATTTGAATGATTTCGATATGGGTTGCGATCACAAGAGACTCTCCTTTTTTTATTTTGTGTGAATGATTTTTGATATAGGCACGGTCGAAAAGGACTCATTATTTTTATTTTATTTGAATGATTTATAATATGTGCTGCAATCGCAAGTGACTTGTTATTTTATTTTATTTGAATGATTTCTAATATAAGCTATAGTTAAAAGGGACTCATCATTTTTATTTTACGTGAATGATTTCGATATGGGTTGTAGTCGTAAGGGACTCACGATATTTACTTTATTTGAACAATTTTTTATATGGACTCGCAATCGCGAGGGACTTGTTAATTTTATTTTATTTGAATGATTTATTATATGGGTTGCGAGTCATAAGGGACTTGTTATTCTTATTTTATTTGAATGAGTGTTGATATGACTCGTAGTGGTAAGGAATCGTTATTTTATTTTATGTGAATGATTTCGATATGGGTTATAGTGATAAAAGACTCATCATTTTTATTTTATTTGAATAATTTTTTATATGAGCTATAGTCACAAAGGACTTGCCATTTTTTATGAATTAAATTTATTAGTAGCTTCCCACTTTTATGCCCCGATTAATTAATTTATTGATGACCTTATGTTCGTGTTAACATAGGCTCTCAACTCTTATAAACTCAAATATTTGTCTATACAAGTTAACAGATCACTAGGGGTAGCCATAATTTCAAATTCTATCTCTATTTCCTCTTTAGAGTATGGGTATAAGCTTTCAACAAGCCTAAATCCCAAATTATGCAACCAATTTATCTTAATAAAATAAATTCACTCAAATAGGCATAAAAACATAACATAACAAGGTCAAAATTTAGTTTACACATGTATACAATGCAAACTACATCGGGTAGTACGAGATGGTAGTGATGTTAATCTTTCCCATATGTAACTAATTCCCTCCCTAGATATTTATGTAGAGTAGTTTGTTTTAGGGTTTCTTAGTTCTCTTTAATTACAAGTGGTAACTCTGCTTGTACTGTAGGCCCTCGTTAATAATTTGATGACTCCACTAGAGATATGCCATGTTAAAGAATCTCTTATTGTATGATTATGCTTATATGCCTGTGTATTTTAAGTGAATGATTTCCTTTTAATTGTTTGTCTTTTTATGTGTGTTGTAAAAGTGTGTTTGTATGTGTATATGTTGTTTGTATTGTTTTTTTTTTTTTTTTTTTTGCATCCTTTTAGTGGTTTAATCTTTAGTCTTTAATTGTGTATTTGAGATTAGATATGGAGTCATACCCCACACACATCATTGCATCTACTTGATTATAAACTACATGTATTTTGCTAGTTGCCATCCGTGATGGATAATAAATAATTTTCATGATTGCTAATGCTTGTCAAGGTTAGTCCTAGTGTTTCTACTAAACTTTACTAGGCATACCATTTTGAGACTTAGATAAAACCTATCCATTTATACAATGGCTAGAATCGAACTTTAGGATCGTCTAACTTTGTTAAAAGCTCTAAGCAAGTAAGACTTATTCAAAACCTTGACTACATGATGATGATGTTTCGGGATGGGGACAAAAGAGTTCAAATGCAATTTAAGACAGTACCAATCTATCAAGTCTGAATCCGGAGCTATTAATTCAAAAAAATTAAAAAGACATGAGAAAACAAACCACTTCAAAGTAATTGAAAGAAGAGATTGCTATCTTCTAGCAACAATCTTCTAGTCCTTGTTGAGAAAATATACAAACCAATACAATATAAAAAAAATTATTTAAGAGAGAGAGAGAGAGAGAGAGAGATGGAGAGGAATAGTGAGATCTACCTTTGGCTTTCTTGCCGAAGTTAGAGAAGAGTCCAGACTTCCTTGCTCATGGTTCGCCGAGAGTGAGATAGAAAGATGAGCAACTTGAGAGGGAATAACGAAATAAGAGAGGGCTTTGAGTTTTGATAGGAGAAGATTGGGCTCTTCAAGAGTCTATGCCTTATAGTACATACTAGCCGATCGCCCTCGCTATGTTATAGGTCCGATAGAATAAAATCTTTTTATAATTTTATAATTATAATTTTTTATTTAATTAATTTTTCTAATGTTTTTTGTAAATTTTCTTCTTAAAAAAAAAACATAATTCATTCTTCTTTATGGATTGATTTTAAAACAAAAAAAAAATTGTAATAATTTTAAAAAAAATATTAATCAAGAATTGAAAAAACCCATTAAAATATATTTTTCATAATATTGTATTCTAAAAAAAAAGTTACAAGTAGTATAAAGACTTTAATAAAAATTAACAAATGAAAAAATAATTTCAATTTAATGCTAATGAGAAGATTAATTTTTTAAATTATCTTTACAACGCTGTGGGTAGATAGAACAAAATTATTTCAAAATTTTATAATTTTTTTATTAATTAATTAATTTTTTTTTATTATTATTATTTTAATAATGTTTTTCATAAAACCTTTGCATAAAAAAAAAACACAATTTATTCTTTTTTCTTCATGGATTCTTAAATAAAAATTTATAATAATTTAAAACTAAAATATTAATTAAGAATTTAAAAAAATACTTTAAAAATATTTTTTTTATAAGAATGTATCAATATATATATATATGCAACTATCATTTAAAAATTCTAAAAATTCATGATATATATTATACCAATTTATTTCTTAAAAAAGAAAAAACAATCATGTTTTAAAATTTTATTCTAAAATTCAAATATAGAGAAAAATAAATTATAATTATCAGTAAATAAACTTTTATATAAAAATATTAATTCAATCAGAATTTTCATTAAAAAAATGATAAATTCAAAGAATGAAATTTAAATAATAAGAGTAATATAAGTTGAAGTATATGTTAATTTTAAAATATAGAAAGATACTTTTTTTTCGTCCCTCATGTATATATAATACACAAACACACACACACACACACACACACACACACTACATGAAAATGAAAGAAAAATAAAAGTTAAAGATTGAAGAAAAAAAATGTTACAACGTAAGGGACGAAAATAGAAAACAAATATTAAATTTGCATATTAACGTCCAAAAACACACAAAAATTACTCGAGATTACAATCAAGTGAATAGTAATTTTATACATATTAACGAGTAAGTGAATATAAATTTTAAGCATATGAACAGTTTGGATTCTCACGATACATTGTAGATCCAACTAAATATATTTATTTTAGTTTGATAACGTATATTATATTGTCGATTATTTAAAATTTATTAAATTAAATATAAAAGATAAAATTTCATCTAATTTAATAATTTTTAATCAAAATTTTGTATCTATTTGTTTTATATATTTTGAATAAATTTTGAAGTCAAAAAAATATGATTTGTTCTTTCTTATGTATTTATTCTTAAATAAAAACCCATAATAAACAAATTTAAATATAAAATTTAAAAAAAATGTCTTAATAGTTTTTCATAACATTGCATCGAAGAAATAAAATAACAATTAATATAAAAACCTATATGAAAATTAACAAATGAAGCTTGTTTACTGATGAGAAGGTTATTTTTAAAAAATATGTACATTTGATTTATATATATTTATTTACAAAATAATGAATAATATTAGCATGCAAAATTGTATTTGAATTATTAGGTGGTTATTCTAAAATATTATTTCAATTATTTTATTTGAAAAAATTAATTTCAAGATGATTAAAAAATAATAGCAAATAGTTGGTATTGTGTGTATAGATGCATAATTGATTTCTAATAAAATCAATAATTCTAATATTATTATTTTTTATATAATATAATCGTACTCAATGGGTGAGAATGTACAGACCTAAGTTAAAAAATATTTAAGAAATTAAATTATAAAATATATATTGAAGTTAATAGAGTATAAAAACTATAAAATTGATTTCAATAAAATTTTATTATATAAAGAATAATATATATATATATATATATATATATATATATATATATATATATATATGATTATACTAGAATTCAGTAAATAATATTTATT